ATGGTTCGATCCTCCCTACCGGCACTCGTGCTAATCAATGACCACCTCGTGCTAATCAACGACTGTCTCGAGTTAGTTCACCATGCCAGAAGACACAAGAGGCCAGTTGTCGCCTGGCCACCAGTAACACAGGGCGGGATGACCACAGGACCAGACAAACAACTGTCACTAATTATTGATTGGGCCGTCAATTAGGTTTTACTTTGCCACTTTTGTAGATGTCAGTATCGGCTGGTGAAACTGGCGGGCTAGATGGCAGACGTGAAGACGTTAGTTTTGTGGCATAGTTGAATGTAAGACGTGAAGACGTTAGTTTTGTGACATAGTTGAATGTAAGACGTGAAGACGTTAGTTTTGTGACATAGTTGAATGTAAGACGTGAAGACGTTAGTTTTGTGACATAGTTGAATGTAAGACGTGAAGACGTTAGTTTTGTGACATAGTTGAATGTAAGACGTTAGTTTTGAGACAGTTTAATGTAAAGACTGTAAACAGACAAGTTCAGCTATAAGAACGTTTTTCTTGTTGGGCCACGAAAATTACCTTAGGATATAGGGGTGGCTGAAATCTTCACGGGTGGCCTAGGGGTGGCTGAAATCTTCACGGGTGGCCTAGGGGTGGCTGAAATCTTCACGGGTGGCCTAGGGGTGGCTGAAATCTTCACGGGTGGCCTAGGTGTGGCTGAAATCTTCACGGGTGGCCTAGGGGGTGGCTGAAATCTTCACGGGTGGCATAGGGGTGGCTGAAATCTTCATGGGTGGCCTAGGGGGTGGCTGGTACGCCATCAGTTGGAGGTACAAGCAACAACTACAACGAAAATGTCACGGCTCTGACAGTGATACCCCAACGGTGGTCTCGTCCTGATTTCTAATTTGTAGCTCAATTATCGCCCTCGCTGTAGTCTTGTGGTAGATGAGTACACCAAGTGTACAACCGATGCAAGCTGTCTATAAATAGCCGGGGATATCTGGCCGGGGATCGTGCACCATACAACACGTGCAGGCTACACCTTCCCAAATGTCAACCTGCCGACATTTACACGCAACAATAGGCTACATAGGTTTGGTACCGGCGCCTACTTGGGCTGGGGGAACAATAGCTGGGTCTACAATATGCTACACACACACGGATCTACACACACTACAGACGGGTCTACTCGTACAAAACACGGGTCTACACGCACAATAGACGGATCAACACGCAGAAAGACCAGCTAGACGACGCTAAAAGACCAGCTAGACAGACGCTAAAAGACCAGCTAGACGACGCTAAAAGACCAGCTAGACAGACGCTAAATGTCTAGTCTAAAAGACCAGCTAGGCAGACGCTAAAAGACCAGCTAGACAGACGCTAAAAGACCAGCTAGACAGACGCTATAAAACCAGTTAGACAGACGCTAAAAGACCAGTTAGACAGACGCTAAAAGACCAGCTAGACAGACGCTAAAAGACCAGCTAGACAGACGCTAAAAGACCAGCTAGTCAGACGCTAAAAGACCAGATAGACGATGCTAAAAGACCAGCTAGACAGACGCTAAATGTCTAGTCTAAAAGACCAGCTACCAACAATGACAAACCCAAAAAAGACTTGCCCAGAAAATCTTTGACATTAACTCTAAGAGCTTTCGCTATCCGACGTCACAGATAATTTGCCCCCTATTGACAAAACGCGTCGTTTCAAAGCCATGAAGTCACATTAAAGTCGTCCATTTCTCTTCACACACAAATCTTCATTTTCTCTTCTTATTAAAACAGTTCCAGTTCACCCCCCCCCCCCCCTCCCGTCTCGTTGAAATATGTTGGTCCACTTTTTTCATGACAAAATCTATTTTAACTCATCCTCATGGTCAAAGTTGACGTCACACTGGACGCTGAGTGAGGTAGAATGAGGAGTGAAACGGTCATTGGGTGGTCAGTTTCAAGCCTGTGGGTGTGGGCAAGACAAAAACAACTGTCGGTGTACTATACAAGACAATCAAACAAGGATCAGACCTTTTATTTATGTTTGTATTGAATGGCTTTATGCGGACTACTGCAGTAAACACGTGACAATTTAAAGTCAGTATTTACATCTGTACTCTGTTGGGCACGTGACGAGACCGTTAAAGGGGCGTTGGCTGGATGTCCCATCAACACACCGAATGTTTACACTTGGTTCATGACGTCACACGATAGCACGTGATGTAAACAAACAATACACGCGTGTGTAAGCATTGATAGAAGTGTCCACGTGATACTTGTATTAAATAACTGCTAAACGCTGGTGTAGTTTAACGTTAGTTACATGACATGATGACCAGTGGTCAACGCTATAGGGACATGAAGCTATGGCCAGTTACAGTGTTGAGAGACTGTTACTCTAGCACAAGTTAACCCTCTCCGAACCAGAAAAAAAGCCTTTGATGTGACAGCGGGTTCCGATGGTAGGGGGTTAAGATTAATTATAGCAGCAATCTACGGCTCAATCAGTGCCCCGTTTACTACACATCACACGGGAGGGGGGGGGACGACAAAAGATAATTCGATCCGGTTAATGACTGTATCGATATCATACACTCTACGTGCCCAGGGCGTAATCGTGTGGGCGCCACACGCTTTGGCTAGTATCGATACAATACACCGTGAGCCAATACAAGATTTAGTGGGTGGGAGTGGTGTAACTACACACACCAGCCCTACCCCCCACACAAGGGTACTGAGTTGTAAGCTACACACTTCAGCCCTAACCCCACCCCCACCCCTGGGGCGATTCACGTTATTTTAGCTTAATAACAGTACACAAAACACGGCAGTGGTTGTTTTGTTGCTGGTGCGTTGATGAGGTAGCGGTGATGGTGTACTAACAGTTGTCAGATAATTATGCTGGTACAGTGGTCAGTTGGTGATGATGTTGGTACAGTGGTCAGTTGGTGATGTTGTTACAGTGGTCAGTTGGTGATGATGTTGCTACAAAGGTCAGTTGGTGATGATGTTGCTACAAAGGTCAGTTGGTGATGGTGTTGGCACAGTGGTCAGTTGGTGTGTTACGGTGAGGCATACAATGTCAGCTGTTCCCGTGTGATGACATTAGATCAACCGTTCTCGTGGGACGGTCACGTGGCGCCCGGGTGGGCTGGCCAGGTAAACATTGACATGGATACACGGAGGCAACAACACCGTCCACATGCACGGTAGCCGTAATGGTAGCCATTTTGGTGTGATATCGGAGGGAGGGGGTTTACATGGAGATATTATCACGCCGAAAGTTTGAATGGGGTGGGATGAGCTAGGGCTAGTGGTGGTATATGTTGATGTGGTGTGGTGGTTGTGGTGTGTATGTTGATGTGGTGTGGTGGTTGTGTTGTATGTTGATGTGGTGTGGTGGTTGTGTTGTATGTTGATGTGGTGTGCTAGTTATGTCGTATGTTATTGGATGTGCTGAAAAGAAAAAAGCGATTGAATGGAGACGTGAGCGAGGAGCGAGCGAGGGCCATCAATTCGAGTTGATCTTGTTTAACCGTTGTAGGCAGCAGACGAATATCTTCTGGTCACGTGATCTCTAGAACTCTGCAAGCCGCACACTTGGCTGTTGTACCGGTCTGTGCCGACAAAGACGCACATTGTACACGAGAATAATGACATTGTTCCCTACACTGGCGGTCGGCACGCACACACACACACAACAACACAGATATGCACCTTACTGGACCCCTTTGAACAGCTGTGTGAGTGTGAGGGGGTGGGGATAGGGGTATCGCTGGACTTCCGAGTACCACGGAAACTCGTGTCTGTTTATGAATGAACCAACGTCTCTCGGACAGTCACGTGACACCTCGTTACGACCGTTTACCCGAGCATTAATTTTTCTTTAATTAGCAATTATCTCCCCTCCCCGTTTGGCCGGGTGAGCTAATCACGTCGAGTTGTCAGCCCTTATCTGACAGGGTCACGAGGGCCTGGCAGTAATTGGGACAGCCCTGTTTTAAGACGGCTGCACGGCTGTAGCGCCAGTGGCAGGTTCGGTGCCAGCGGAGTCGGCTGAAAGATTTGTTGCGCCCCCATTACGGCACGACGCTGGACGCTAATTCATCGACACAGGTGGTCAGGCTAGACTCCCACCACCACCAAGATATTTAATTTGCAGCCAGCACACAAACTCAAGTAGAACAATAACAGAAACAGCTCTGATAAACAGCTCTGATAAACAGCACTGATAAACAGCTCTTATAAACACGGAACCGAACTAAACCAATTCTCCGCTCAATACGAGTGTGGGTGGCGGGTTAAAACGCCGTGACGCTCCCAGATCAGCCGAGCTGCTGGTCGAGGGCTTAAACAAGTTTCTCTTTAGTTCAACAACTTGATCTCAAGTTGACAAGTAACGCCGTCAGTTAGGTGTGGGTGTGAGTGTTGAACGGTTTAGAGAGATGTGTGAGTCTGAATAGAAACAGGTTGTGTGTGTGAGCACTTAGTCCTGTGTGTTGCAGGCAAGAATGTGTGTGTGTGTGTGTTGTGCACATCTGACAGTAGGCAAGAAGCAATTGAAAGAGCGGAGATAATCTGGGCACCGTTTGAAAGCGGCAGCAAGTTTCCTGCCCCTGATCTAGGCGGCTGGGCCTTAGACCGGGGTACGGGACACATGCTGCTCAGCGCCGATTGAAGATAGTCGGATATCAAGGGAGCTAACCGGGGCTACACCCCCAGCTCATTAAACAGGGGAGATCACTACAGATACCCGCTCACTACACGTTCAAACTGTGTTGAGAATCGTGTCAGACATTCGTGTAAAGCAAGGGATGTGGTATGGACACGACATGCAACAGTGTTCTCACCGGCTGGCTCGGTAAAGATGCAGCACGAGTAAGATTTTGTGGGGCGTGTTCTACCGGGATCTCAGCACGGGTTAGAGACAACTACACAAGCACAGCATGGTAAACATTCAACTTTGACCGGGGCCAGAGTGAGGGTGGAGTGCAGTGTGAGTGTGCTAGAGTGCATGCATGTGGGACCTGTGGTACTGACCTAGTTCTCCAGTGGTCACTTCTACCATCTTGCTTGGCCGGCTGCGGCCGACTAGATTCTCGGCCACCACTTGGAACGAGTAGGCCGTGTGGGCTTTCAATGCCGTGACCGTATAGACGTTGGTCCGGATGTTGGTCCTGAACTGGTCGAACTTGCTCCGGCTCTGGTTCCGGTACTCGATGGTGTAGGAGCGCGCAGGCTCGGGGGAGGTGTCCGTGTCCCACATTAGTTTGACCGTCGACGCCGTCACTTCCAGGACCCGGATGCCCTTAGGGGGGTCGGGCGCAGCTGCATCCGTGGACAGAGCCAGGGAGAGGAAAAAGATGGATGAGATAACAATCTCCCAAAGTCTGTGGCGGCCGCAGCTTTTAGGGTCAGTGACCATGGTGGAGCAATGGAGTCACGTGACAAACGTTAAAGTCTGACCAGGCCACTAGCCATCCGGCCAACTTCGTCCCAATCCTATGTCATCATCAACAATATTTACAATCACCAAGGCACACATCAAACAAACAAAATAGATGAAAGTGGGGAGGTGCTCACACACAGGAGCTGTGAACGTGACGGAGCTGTGGGGCAGAGCTGTGAAGCCGTAGCCACCCAGTCGCGGGTGTTTTAGCCAGCAAGTCTAAACTCTCTCGTGTATTAACCATTTAGGCAGCAAGTCTAAACTGTCTAGTGTGTTAACCATTTAGCCACAAGTCTAAACTCTCTCGTGTATTAACCATTTAGGCAGTACGTCTAAACTCTCTCGTGTATTAACCATTTAGGCAGTACGTCTAAACTCTCTCGTGTATTAACCATTTAGGCAGTACGTCTAAACTCTCTCGTGTATTAACCATTTAGCCAGTACGTCTAAACTCTCTCGTGTGTTAACCATTTAGCCAGTACGTCTAAACTCTCTAGTGTATTAACCATTTAGGCAGCAAGTTTAAACTGTCTAGTGTGTTAACCATTTAGCCAGTACGTCTAAACTCTCTCGTGTATTAACCATTTAGGCAGTACGTCTAAACTCTCTCGTGTATTAACCATTTAGCCAGTACGTCTAAACTCTCTCGTGTGTTAACCATTTAGCCAGTACGTCTAAACTCTCTAGTGTATTAACCATTTAGGCAGCAAGTTTAAACTGTCTAGTGTGTTAACCATTTAGCCAGTACGTCTAAACTCTCTAGTGTATTAACCATTTAGGCAGCAAGTTTAAACTGTCTAGTGTATTAACCATTTAGCCAGCAAGTCTAAACTCTCTAGTGTATTAACCATTTAGGCAGCAAGTTTAAACTGTCTAGTGTGTTAACCATTTAGCCAGTACGTCTAAACTCTCTCGTGTGTTAACCATTTAGCCAGCAACCAAAGGCTTAACTCGATTTCAATTTGTGGCCGACTATCATTTAGTGTTATAATTTTTTGTTTGTCTAAAAGTTGTAATGGTTGTATTAAGTGTGACTTTAAAAGTTGCGTGTACTTAAATTGGAGTAAAGCGGTTGCATCAAGTTTGACTAAAACTGCGTTTAAATTAATTTAGGTAAAACGATTGCATTAAATATTTGACCAAAACATTGTATCTTTAGGTAAAACGGTTGCATTAAGTTTGACTAAAACATTGTGTACAAGTTTGACTAAAACATTGTATACAACGGCTACTTGAAGACCTCACAGCTCTGCAGTCTACCAAATGAGCTCCGAGACACGTGATACAAGCGAGAAAATACAACAAAACACCGAGTGTAGGGTGAGTGGAAAATTGAGAAAACTTGAGTGTGAAGAACGCCTCACAAAATGTGACACACAACAATGTGAAAAAAATGTGAAAAAATGGTGCAGCGTTTTATAGAGTGGACAACACAAATGTGAAAGAAAAAAACCTTAACTAGCTACTGGTCAGTTTGAGAAGGTGGTTCTAGAACTACTGGTCAGTTGAGGCGGTGGTTCTAGAACTACGGACCTACTACTGGTCAGTTTGTAGCGGTGGTTCTAGAACTACAGACCTACTGGTCAGTTGAGGCGGTGGTTCTAGAACTACAGACCTACTGGTCAGTTTGTAGCGGTGGTTCTAGAACTACAGACCTACTGGTCAGTTGAGGCGGTGGTTCTAGAACTACAGACCTACTGGTCAGTTTGTGTCGGTGGTTCTAGAATCACTGGTCAGTTCGTGTCGGTGGTTGACTTGGATACAACGGTCTATTGACCGTGTATTACTGACCGTGACAACCAGTCACGTGACAAACTGCTGACCAAGCGCAGACAACCACCGGCTCAAACCAGCAACATAACGAGTGACAGACAGAGACAGGACGAAGGTAAGCCGAGGTTCGAAAGTTGGCCACTTGAAGCGAGTGACGACCAGGACGGGAAACAAATGTGTTCCCAGGAAAGTTGCTGTTTTCTTTAGCAAACTCGTGCGATGCGAGTCAACATCCGTAGTGAGTTGCTCTAGCTAATCCTCTTGTTACCTGGATCCCACGGAATTCACTTAATGAATAAAGCCAGGTATTCCAACAGTAAGAGCGAGAGATCCGAGAAAAGAATGGCACACGTGAATACACAGACGATTAACTTGCACGGAAGCGAGCATGATTCTGTGTTCACCTTGATTCCTCAGGTTCAACTCGACCATCTCACGAAGGACTCAACTCCCCGCCAGCCGGCTGGTGCCGCGCGCAGCGCCCCCCACCCCCCCACCCTCGGTGCCAGAAACGTAGCAGGCGTGCCCGTAGGCAAGGTTGGTGCGCCCTGGATTCGTCTTCATATAACGGACAAATTAGACACGGTCGGACGCGGATTAATTAATCCGTACTGAGGGGAAAATGACGTCATTTGATTGGTGTTTACGAGAATTCAGGTCAAGTCTGGAATACAATCGCACGAATGAAATACCACCATACAAATGAAATACCACCATACGAATGAAATACTACCGTAAGAATCAGAGTGCCGTGAATTTTAAATGTTTCACCCCAAAGCCTTATTGAGTACAAGCGGTGAGATCTAACAGATTTACTTGGGTTTTAACTTTGTGAGGGGCACCATGTGAAGGAGAAATGAGAAGATAACTCATTGATATATTTTTAAAACGGGCACTAACTCCCGATGAAAGAAACAGGCTAAATGGCGTCTACAAGTCTCTACCAAATCACGCCCATTATCTTGCTCAATTAATTTTCCCCCTATCAACCCAGGCTTAGCTATAAAGACGTTTTGCCCTGCGTCTATTAAAACTTGGAGTTTTGTAGATGCCCTCTTAAAGTGTCTCAAACTGTGCCCCTCCCCATCCCCCCATTTCAGCGCTTCTCAAACTGTGCCCCCCCCCCTCCCCAGTATTATCTAGACCCCAGCACATAAAGCGTCCTGGGTAGGAGGGTAGATAAGGGGAGATGGGCAGGGTAACTTGAGCCAGGTCTGGGAGCCTGTGGGGTGATGAAAGGTACAGACAGATAGGCTAAGATATGATGGAGGGGGGGGGGGCAGGGAAGTTCCGTTCTATAAATAAACCACGTACGTGTCTGAGCTGGTGTGTATCGGGTAGTGAAGGCCATCTTCACAGTCTGGAGTTATGTAACAATCTGCTATGGTCAAGCGCTAATGTATCGGGTAGTGAAGGAGTTATGTAACAATCTGCTATGGTCAAGCGCTAATGTATCGGGTAGTGAAGGAGTTATGTAACAATCTGCTATGGTCAAGCGCTAATGTATCGGGTAGTGAAGGAGTTATGTAACAATCTGCTATGGTCAAGTGCTGATGTATCGGGTAGTGAAGGAGTTATGTAACAATCTGCTATGGTCAAGTGCTGATGTATCGGGTAGTGAAGGAGTTATGTAACAATCTGCTATGGTCAAGTGCTGATGTATCGGGTAGTGAAGGAGTTATGTGACAATCTGCTATGGTCAAGTGCTGATGTATCGGGTAGTGAAGGAGTTATGTAACAATCTGCTATGGTCAAGTGCTGATGTATCGGGTAGTGAAGGAGTTATGTAACAATCTGCTATGGTCAAGTGCTGATGTATCGGGTAGTGAAGGAGTTATGTAACAATCTGCTATGGTCAAGCGCTAATGTATCGGGTAGTGAAGGCCATCTCTACAGTCTGGAGTTATGTAACAATCTGCTATGGTCAAGTGCTGATGGTCAAACAAGGGACGACATCAAATGCCAGAAATTCATTTTTCCAACCTGGACTTACAGAACTGATCTAATGAGTACACCGGTCAACTGGTCAGATACAACACGATCCTACAGGGTAGTTGACCCATGGATCTGTGGGGGTCGGTGCTGGTAACTGTGGGGGTTAGTGTTGCTGCGTGTTGGTCAGTGTTGGTGTGTGGGTCAGTGTTGGTGTGAGAGTAAGTGTTGGTGTGTGGGTTAGTGCTGGTGTGTGGGTCAGTGTTGGTATCTCTAGCAGCTAAGCCAGACAAAAGACTGGCTTTAAAAGAAACTCTCCAACTGACGTAAATTTAAAATCTTGCCTATATTTTTTGTCAGGACGTCAAACTGTGAAAGCCCCTCAACGAAAATCTGCCGGTGTAGATGTATCTGACTTTTATAATCCCCCAAAAAACTTGATCTCATTTCATTTAATGCTAGATCTCACACGCTGATAACGGCTTTTTTTCCAGGACATCACAATTTTTGGGATAATTAATTCTAAAAATTGTGCTAATTAATGCTCATTAATTTTTCTTTCACCAGGAAGGCGGAGGGAAACGAGCTAGAAAATTTTGGAAGGTTCCGGCAAAACTAAGTGGCCAAACGGCTGGACATCCATAGGATAGGACGGTGTAGCAACCGGACAGGGCGGTGTAGTAGCCGACAAGGGCTCTAATATTCATTTTAGACAGCAAAAACTACTTTACATTGGGACGTCTGCTGGACAATCGGTCGTCTGCTGGAGACTTGCTACATTTAGTCCACTGGCAGGTTTCGGGTGTTATCCCACGTCATCACGTGCCACATTTTGCTTTCTTCCTTCAAAACGTCGACTCTTTTATCGTGCCCCTAGCGGGAAATCCCAGATCTAATTTCATCACACAAACATGGCGGCTGTAGATAGCGAGAGGGGCGGAGGTAAACAAACAATGGGCGTGTAGCGAGGGCGGGATGACTTGCTGCCTCGCTCTAGAAACTCTGGGCAACACTAGCCAGATAAAAATAGGAGGACAACATCGATGTAAGCTGACTAAACGCATTAGAGGAGCCAATGGTTTGATCACCCCCCGGGAGAAAATATAATGGGGCAATAAATGGTCGACTTCCTGCAATATTTTCTGCTTAGCTTCTCACTTGTGTTGGTTGTGTATGGGGGGGGGGGGGGCAGAGGGCATATAGAGGCAGTGGTCTAGTTTCACGGTCATCAGTGGGTGTGTGCACGCCTTACGTGTAAACAATGTGTCGTCTGCCAATAACTGACGAGGGATGAGTGGGGACTATTGGACAGAGCCGTAGCGACCCTTCCCAGCGCCCGGGGACAAACTTTCAATTTGGCGCCCCTCAAACTTTAGATTTGCAATACCCCCCCCCCCTCATAAAGCTAAAATGCAGCTAAAATAATATTTTCATTTGTTTTTCCAACCCATTTTGCCCCCCCCCCCCTCTAAGGTTGGCGCCCGGGGACATATGTACCCCCTCCCCCCCCCTTTCGCTACGCCTCTGCTATAGGATACAGTTTTATTTCTGTTATATCTGGTGTTTGTGGTACCGTTTGAGCTATTTGTGATTTTTATAAATAGTTTTCTTGTTGTGGCAACTGTACATTTTTTAGTGTCTGTAGGGTGAGTGTGTGTATATAAATATATGTGTGTATGTGTATATATGGGCGTGTATGTGTGTATATATATATATATATATATATATATATGTGTGTGTTTATGTGTGCGTATATATGTGCGTGTGTATGTGTGTGTATATGTGTGCGTATGTGCGCATACGTATGTGTGTGTGAACACCCACGACTAGATAAACCGTGTACCAGTGTATGTGTGTCTGTGTGTGTGTGTACCAGTTGGTTCCAGACTGTGGCCAGACAATCCGGTCAGACAAAAATCAACGGACACGACGGGCCAACACGAGTCAATTAACGGCAATCTGGGGGAGTGGCGGGGGGGGGGGGGGTGAGGCATTACGTAAGATGTCCAGACACAAACAACAGGACAGTGACGTCATCTGTGTAGATGTGTGTCGACACTGGAGACAGTTATTTGGAATTGGGAATCAAAAAGCTGACAACACAATGGTGCTGGGGGGGGGGGGGGGAAGGAGAGGAATATAGAACAACAGATCGAGTTAAATAGAGAAAAAAAGGCCCATTCAAAATGTGACAATAAAAAGGCTGAACGGAAGGGGGTGGGGTGGGGGGACATGAATAGATAAACAAAAGTTTATACGAAACATTTTCAACAGCTGTGTTTTTTTGTGAGGCGCGAGGTTATGTAGTTCAAGTGAAAACTCCCACGTCAAATATCTCACTCATGAGGTACCTCTTGATTGAGGAGTTACCTCTCGATTGAGGTATTATCTCTTCACTGAGGAGTACCTCTCGATTAGGTGGCACCTAACCGATGACGTAAGTTGAGTCCTACTTAACGACGTCATCTTTCCACCAAACAGCCAACTAAATGTGGCACTAGTGCTGAAAATTGGGCCTGGACATTGGCATTAGCTCGGACGCTATCAGAACATTTTTCTAAACTAAGAAAAAATACCCTTTGGAAATCGAAAATGCAACGACTTGTAAAATCTATAAGAACAATTAGTTCATTGGGGCGTAGAGCGTATCGATATATCGATCAAACAAACTAGGCCTCTAGGCTTTCAAAGTCAAAGCGTCAAAGGCTAAAAATAAACGGCCGCTAGGATGGCCAGACTTTTGTTGTTTCTAAGGCAGGGAGGGGGAGCTGAGTGGCTCAAGCAGTCTAAGACATGTACGGTGAACAATATCTGGGTAAGCGACACAGGGTTCAACTACGGAGCAGGGTTCGGGTTCAAAACACAACCACACACAATGAGAAGAAAATTTGATTGCCCAGAAAAAATCTGTTGGATTTGTGTGAGGGAAAGTGGGGGGGGGGGGGGGGGGGGAATTGTCAGGCAAATATGTATTAATAAACCTTGGATAAATTAACTGTAACAAACAAAATAAAAACTGTTACAAACTCTGTCTTAGAACTTGGACAGTACCAAATACACCTTTAAAATAAAAGTTTTGTAAGTAATTTTAGCCGTGTATTTTTACCTTGCTTTTAAAAAAAAAGTTGGCACAGATGTTGTAAACGCAATTTTATTTAATTACCCATTTATACAAAACTTTAATTACCTATTTATACAAAACTTTAATTACCTAATGATACAAAACTTTAATTTCCTAATGACACAATTGCTGCTTGTAGCATATTACAAGTGAGTTAGGATGGGAAGGTTTATTAATACGAATTTGTAGCACTACTAACTACACTAAAAGCAAAACATGTTCAATCGGCAGTGTTTTGAGACCACTTCTATAGTGGGCTGGTGTGGGTGGATTGGTGTGGATGGGTTGGTGTGGGTGGCTTGGTGTGGGGGTCTGGTGTGGGCCTGGTGTGGATGGGCTGTGTGGGCCTGGTGTGGATGGGTTGGTGTGGGTGGGTTGGTGTGGATGGGCTGTGTGGGCCAAGTGTGGATGGGTTGGTGTGGGCCAAGTGTGGATGGGCTGTGTGGGCCAAGTGTGGATGGGTTGGTGTGGGCCAAGTGTGGGTGGGTTGGTGTGGGTGGCGTGGATGGGCTGTGTGGGCCTGGTGTGGGTGGGTTGGTGTGGGTGGATTGGTGTGGGTGACCTGGTGTGGATGGGCTGTGTGGGCCAAGTGTGGATGGGTTGGTGTGGGCCAAGTGTGGGGGGTCTGGTGTGGGCCTGGTGTGGATGGGCTGTGTGGGCCTGGTGTGGATGGGTTGGTGTGGGTGGGTTGGTGTGGGTGGGCCTGGTGTGGGTGGCTTGGTGTGGGGGGTCTAGTGTGGGCCTGGTGTGGATGGGCTGTGTGGGCCTGGTGTGGGTGGGTTGGTGTGGGTGTGTTGGTGTGGGTAGGTACTGGGGAAATATCGAATGCTTGTATTGAAAGAAGGTGCAGGTTAAAAATAACGCAGAGAAATGCAGAAACAGGTAGTGGAAAAGTGTGGGTGCGCCTCAAGTTGGTGGAGTGGAGAGTGGAGTGGACGGTGGAGCATTCTCTGCAAGCGGAAAGTACATGCTAGAGAGGTGGCGCTGCAGAAGTTCTGGGCGACCAATCGAAATGTGAGGAGCAAGTTGAAGGACATCTAAGGGTTATATAACATGGCGTGAAGGCAGGCAGGATCTAAAAGCTGTCCGTGGCCCAACAACACTCCAACCCCCCACTCTCTATTAGCTCACCCCCCCCCCCCCCACCGAACCATACATCGTTTAGATAGACTGTTCTAGACTAAACCCCCTACAAATGATGGGATTTCAAAAAATAGTATTGAAACAACCAAGTGCCGAAGACGTCCATTGTGCTAAGATATATTTTCTCTTGGTTTCCTTACCGGTCCGAGATTTTTATTTTAACCTGAAGAGCTTAAGGCTGTCCCGACCCCTGCACCAAGAGAGAGGGCTGTTGAGAGTGGTGTCGGCTGCTAGCTACAGGTGTCGGCTTACCTTCCACGATGACCTGCACGTGGTGCTCGATGTTGCCCAGGTCGGACGACGCCTCGCACGTGTAGTTCTTGGACATCCGGACGTCGGTCAGGATCAGCGTGTTCCGGCCGATAGGGATGTGGTCCTCTCCGGTCAAGTCCTGGGCGCCAGACCGCCACTTGACGTACGGCATGGGGGACCCCACGGCCACGCACGTCAAGTTCACGTCGTTGCCGGGTGGGATTCTCACGTCGCTGGGGGCACCCGAGAACTTGGGGGACACTCGTCTCACTGTTAGGGTGGGGGGGGGGGGGGGGGGGAGAAAATAACAGGGTTAGTCAACATAATTGATGAAACATTTGATGGAATACACAAGACAAGCTTTGTTAGCTTACATTTGAATACAACTAACAACTTATTTGTCACGTGACTATCAGATATCCAGGAGTCTGTGACACCCATACCCCCCCCCCCCCCCCACAGAGTTCCAGTCGAGTAGCAGGATACTGCAACCTGTCCCGTTTACCTGTATCCCCTCCCCCTAATTTCATCAACAGACCCGTACCACCGGTACCACCCGAGGTAACCAATTAGCCTACCTGAGATGATTTAGACCAGGTAGACGCACGGCAAATAGTCACCTGTCATAACGAGGAGCAAAACACGACCTCGTGGCTCTGTTTACAAGTAAACCATTGGTGTCAGGGTACACGGGAACAGACGGGGCGCTAACAAAGGTTCATCACAGTGGTAATCTGACGGCGTAAGTTAGTTGGACTTTGTGCAGCCTCTGGCATATTCAATAAACGTACCCGAGAAACTATAGTCACAGAAACCAATAAACACACCATCATGACCACAAAACCCCACATCCATGGACCACAAAACCCCACATCCATGGACCACAAAACCCCACATCCATGGACCACTAAACCCCCCATCCATGGACCACAAAACCCCACATCCATGGACCACAAAACCCCACATCCATGGACCACTAAACCCCCATCCATGGACCACAAAACCCCACATCCAAGGAACACTAAACCCCACATCCATGGACCACTAAACCCCACATCCAAGGAACACTAAACCCCACATCCATGGACCACTAAACCCCACATCCATGGACCACTAAACCCCACATCCATGGACCACTAAACCCCACATCCATGGACCACTAAACCCCACATCCATGGACCACTAAACCCCACATCCATGGACCACTAAACCCCACATCCAAGGAACACTAAACCCCACATCCATGGACCACTAAACCCCACATCCAAGGACCACTACCCCCACCACCAATCCATGAACCACAACAACCCAGACACCGACACGAGTTATTTCGGTTTTCAATAATATTTTTTCTTCTACATTTCTTGGGCTGCAAATAAACCGTTACATTTTTATAAAAACCAACATCCTAGCTAAAATAAAAAACTGTTTAAAATGTCAGGTAGCGCAGATCAGATGGCCGTGTCCCGTCTATCGCGCGGGAGACGTCAAATTCTGTCGGTCTACGGAGCCGAGAGAGACGTATGGTTTGTTGGTAGGTGATCGGGGCTGACCCCCCCCCCCCCCCCCCCCCCACAGTGATAATAAAACAACACTTGCAACTATTACCTGGGACCACAAGCAGGTAACTATTACCTGGGACCACAAGCAGGTAATTATGACCTGGGACCACAAGCAGGTAACTATGGGACCACAGGCAGGTAACTATTACCTGGGACCACAAGCAACTATTACCTGAGACCACAAGCAGGTAACTATTACCTGAGACCACAAGCAGGTAACTATTACCTGGGACCACAAGCAGGTAATTATTACCTGGGACCACAAGCAGGTAACTATTACCTGGGACCACAAGCAGGTAATTATTACCTGGGACCACAAGCAGGTAACTATGGGACCACAGGCAGGTAACTATTACCTGGGACCACAAGCAACTATTACCTGAGACCACAAGCAGGTAACTATTACCTGAGACCACAAGCAGGTAACTATTACCTGGGACCACAGGCAGGTAACTATTACCTGGGACCACAAGCAGGTAACTATTACCTGGGACCAAAAGCAGGCAACTATTACCTGGGACCACAAGCAGGTAACTATTACCTGGGACCACAGGCAGGTAACTATGGGACACAAGCAGGCAACTATTACCTGGGACCACAAGCAGGTAACTATTACCTGGGACCACAAGCAGAGAACTATTACCTGGGACCACAAGCAGAGAACTATTACCTGGGACCACAAGCAGGTAACTATTACCTGGGACCACAAGCAAAGAACTATTACCTGGGACCACAAGCAGAGAACTATTACCTGGGACCACAAGCAGGTAACTATTACCTGGGACCACCAGACCACAAAACTATAAACACAAGTTTACGAGCTATTCTGACTGCATTTTATAGAGGGCAGGCATCTGATAGGAGTGATGCGACAAACAGGTTGAGCATACCAACCGTCACAGGTTGATGCCACGAATTTGACGTCTGAGGGCACTGACGTAGGTAGCACAGGAAACAAACACAAACGGTGGAGGCAATGTTGGTCTATCTAATGGGGGGGGGGGGTGTAAATGTTGGTCTATCTAATGGGGGGGGGGCTGTAAATGTTGGTCTATCTAATGGGGGGGGGGGCTGTAAATGTTGGTCTATCTAATGGGTGGATGTAAATGTTGGTCTATCTAATGGGTGGATGTAAATGTTGGTCTATCTAATGGGTGGATGTAAATGTTGGTCTATCTAATGGGGGGCTGTAAATGTTGGTCTATCTAATGGGTGGATGTAAATGTTGGTCTATGGGTGGCTGTAAATGTTGGTCTATCTAATGGGGGGCTGTAAATGTTGGTCTATGGGTGGCTGTAAATGTTGGTCTATCTAATGGGGGGCTGTAAATGTTGGTCTATCTAATGGGTGGATGTAAATGTTGGTCTATGGGTGGCTGTAAATGTTGGTCTATCTAATGGGGGGCTGTAAATGTTGGTCTATCTAATGGGTGGATGTAAATTTTGGTCTATTTAATGGGTGGATGTAAATGTTGGTCTATCTAATGGGTGGATGTAAATGTTGGTCTAATGGGGGGGGGGCGGCTGTAAATGTTGGTCTATCTAATGGGTGGATGTAAATGTTGGTCTCAAGGGTGGCGTATGGGTTTGGACGTGCTGTTCACATTTTGAATGTAGTTTGCTGTTCACATTTTGAATGTAGTTTGTTGTCAACATTTAACATGTAGTTTGTTGTTCACATTTTGAAGGTCAGGTAGCTTGTTCACGTTTTGAATGTAGTTTGTTGTTCACATTTTGAAGGTAGTTTTGTTGTTAACATTTTACATGTAGTTTGTTGTTCACATTTTGAAGGTAGCTTGTTCACATTTTGAGTGTAGTTTGTTGTTAACATTTTGAATGTAGTTTGTTGTTCACATTTTGAATGTAGTTTGTTGTTCACATTTTACATGTAGTTTGTTGTTCACATTTTGAATGTAGTTTGTTGTTCACATTTTGAAGGTAGTTTTGTTGTTCACATTTTAAATGCAGTTTTGTTGTTCACATTTTGAATGCAGTTTGTTGTTCACATTTTGAATGTAGTTTGTTCACATTTTGAATGTAGTTTGTTGTTCAGCGTGTGAGTAGTTTATTTCTCCACCAGGTAGGCGTGGCTTTAACCCCTGACATGAGCTGACAGGGGAAGCCATCTTGGAACAGGTGGTAGTCTCTAGCTTGACTTAACTGACAGTCGTGAGGGGCCGGTCGATAGGTATCGTAGTGGCACTAAAGGTCGATAAGTATCGTAGTGGCACTAACGGTCTATAAGTATCATAGTGGGATTAATGGTTAAAAAGTATCGTAGTTGCACTAACGGTTTGTAAGTATCATAGTGGCACTAACGGACGCTAAGTATCGTAGTGGCACTAACGGACGCTAAGTATCGTAGTGGCATTAACGGACGATAAGTATCGTAGTGGCCCTTATATAAAAGCTGGAGTTGTGAAATAATTAATATCCGAACTAGTCTGGACTGTCAGGTGGTGCTATTTTGTTTAGTGATTGTATGAGTGATTGAGTGAATAAAACGTTAGACTTTTGAGTGAATAAAACGTTAGACTGTTGAGTTAATGTTGATATGGGTGAATAAAAAGCGGCAAAGCTATTTGTTTAGAGATTTTCTATAACAAAGCTGTTTGCTTAGAGAGTACCTATAACAATGCAATTTGTTTAGAGAGTTCCTATAACAAAGCTGTTTGTTTAGAGAGTTTCTGTAACAAGGCTGTTTAGAGAGTTTCTTTGTCTGCTCACACAAGTGTGGCCTTGACTGTTTATCTGTAGTCCCGATCACGTGACGAGGGAACGGTTTACTGGCCTGCAAGTGGAACTTAAGTGGGGACTACTTAACTACCCTCTGACCTTTGAACTCGACCCTTGCCTTTTAGACGGGCGGATTGACCTATGCCAAGAACTGAGGTTGGAGAAATCTTAGAAGGAGAGACGGAAGTTTTTCATTTGGCTCGGCTTGTTATGTGTGCTTGGTTTAACACGGGTCTCTCGTGGTACGAGGGTCGGTGTGTAGTTGATGGTCAGTGAGTAGTACACAGGTCAGTGTGTTGGCAACGGTCAGTGAGTAGCACACAAACGATGGTCAGTGGGTAGTAGAAAGGTCAGCGTGTAGTTGATGGTCAGTGAGTCGTACAATGTGAAGGAAATAAGACTCAACTATGTCCCCACTAAACTATGACTAAACTGTGTCTTTAGCGATACACTAACTAAAATAGCTGGAGATGGTGAAAAAAATGGGATCTGGAGTTGCTCTCATTTCCTGATTAGCTCCCTTTCAATGGATTAATTCCCTTGACACCCTGGTGCAGTTGTTTAATCAATTAGACGAGTGAATGCAACAAGCAAGGGGGAGGTGGTCATACATACATACAGCGGGTTGGTCATACATACATACAGCGGGTTGGTCATACATACATACAGCGGGTTGGTCATACATACAACGGGTTGTCATCAATTAGACGAGTGAATGCAACAAACAAGGGGGAGGTGGTCATACATACATACAGCGGTTTGATCACACATACAACAGGTTGGTCACACATACAGCGGGTTGGTCATACATACATACAGCGGGTTGGTCATACATACAATAGGTTGGTCATACATACAATAGGTTGGTCATACATACAATAGGTTGGTCATACATACAATAGGTTGGTCATACATACAATAGATTGGTCATACATACAATAGGTTGGTCACACATACATACAACAGGTTGGTCATACATACATACAACGGGTTGGTCACACATACAATAGGTTGGTTACACATACATACAACAGGTTGGTCATACATACATACAACAGGTTGGTCATACATACAATAGGTTGGTTACACATACATACAACAGGTTGGTCATACATACATACAGCGGGTTGGTCACACATACATACAGCGGGTTGGTCTTACATACAGCGGGTTGATCACACATACATACAACGGGTTGGTCACACATACAACGGGTTGGTCACATACAGCGGGTTGATCACACATACATACAACGGGTTGGTCTTACATACATACAGAGGGTTGGTCTTAATACAGCGGGTTGGTCTTACATACATACAACGGGTTGGTCTTACATACAACGGGTTGGTCACACATACAACGGGTTGGTCACACATACAGCGGGTTGATCACACATACATACAACAGGTTGGTCTTACATACATACAACGGGTTGGTCTTACATACATACAACGGGTTGGTCTTACATACATACAGAGGGTTGGTCTTACATACAGCGGGTTGGTCTTACATACATACAACGGGTTGGTCTTACATACAGCGGGTTGGTCTTACATACAACGGGTTGGTCTTACATACAACGGGTTGGTCACACATACAACAGGTTGACCACACATACATACAACGGGTTGGTCTTACATACATACAACGGGTTGGTCACACATACAACGGGTTGGTTACACATACAACGGGTTGGTCACACATACAACAGGTTGACCATACATACATAAAACGGGTTGGTAACACATACATACAACGGGTTGGTTACTCATACAGACGGCATCAACATAGTACAACACTCAAGTCCAACATCACACTGCAGTCAACAAGCACTATCACGATACGTCACACACACCCTGCACCAAACTACAATCATGTCAGGCTAAAGTCACGAAACGTCACACTACAATCGTGTCTGACTAAAGTCAAACTACAATCGTGTCAGCTAAAGTCACGAAACGTCACAGCTAGTACCGACTGGATCTTATAAACACATATTATCAGGACAGAAAATCGTTATTCAACCTGTTTAAATTCCACCGTTATCGATTAGCCATACCTACATTGTGATGCAGCAGAGTGTTGCCGTGGAAGATGTTTGAGTTGCTGAGTTATTCAACACCCACACATCTTGAAATGACCAACTCACATCTTCAAATGACCAACTCACATCTTCACTTAACACGACCAACTCACATCTTTAACACCACTATCAGCCACCAATGACCCCCCCCCCCCCCCCCCCACACTCCCCCACTAATTCATGTTTGGAGCTTCAACCCCGACGTACCAAAACAGTCGATCACGTGATGTGACAATGTTCCTCACGTTGACCACACGTGTTTGATCTAGACGTTCAATTAATATCCCCAGGGTGTTGTACGTGGGCACAATTTAAAACCACGCCCCTCGGGAGTTGATGGTGCCTGGGTGGGGGGGGGGGTCAATACATGACGTCACTGGTCACTTCCCCCATGGCACGACTTGTTAGATTTTGGACGAAGATTAAAACCTGACACCATTTTAACTGACAAATGATATGTCTTACAAGAAACTAACAAATGACATGTCTTATAAGAAACTGACCAATGAAATGTCTTATAATTAACTGACCAATGATAAGCCTGACATTTCACTGACTGACGACATTTTACCTAGCCCTAAACATCTCATCCTGAGCATATGGTCATTTGTGTATCACGTACCTTTGTACACCAACTATGTTGTACTTTCTTACACCTCTAAAACACAGCAACATGCTGTATCAACCATCCCTGTAACTACACCAACATACAACTATCCATATAGCTACAGCAACATACAACCATCCCTATAACTACAGCAACATACAACCATCCCTATAACTACACCAACATACAACCACCCTTGTAACTACACCAACATACAACCACCCTTGTAACTACACCAACATACAACCATCCCTATAACTACAGCAACATACAACCACCCTTGTAACTACACCAACATACAACCACCCTTGTAACTACACCAACATACAACCATCCCTATAACTACACCAACATACAACCACCCTTGTAACTACACCAACATACAACCATCCCTATAACTACACCAACATACAACCACCCTTGTAACTACACCAACATACAACCACCCTTGTAACTACACCAACATACAACCATCCCTATAACTACACCAACATACAACCACCCTTGTAACTACACCAACATACAACCACCCTTGTAACTACAGCAACATACAACCATCCCTGTAACTACAGCAACATACAACCACCCTTGTAACTACAGCAACATACAACCATCCCTATAACTCCAGCAACATACAACCATTCCTATAACTACAGCAACATACAACCATCCCTGTAACTACAGCAACATACAACCATCCCTGTAACTACAGCAACATACAACCATCCCTATAACTACAGCAACATACAACCATCCCTATAACTACAGCAACATACAACCATCCCTATAACTACAGCAACATACAACCATCCCTATAACTACAGCCACATACAACCATCCCTGTAACTACAGGCACATACAACCATCCCTGTAACTACAGCAACATACAACCATCCCTGTAACTACAGCAACATACAACCATCCCTATAACTACAGCAACATACAACCATCCCTATAACTACAGGCACATACAACCATCCCTGTAACTACAGCAACATACAACCATCCCTATAACTACAGCAACATACAACCATCCCTATAACTACAGCAACATACAACCATCCCTATAACTACAGCCACATACAACCATCCCTATAACTACAGCAACATACAACCATCCCTATAACTACAGCAACATACAACCATCCCTATAACTACAGCAACATACAACCATCCCTATAACTACAGCCACATACAACCATCCCTATAACTACAGCAACATACAACCATCCCTATAACTACAGCAACATACAACCATCCCTATAACTACAGCAACATACAACCATCCCTATAACTACAGCAACATACAACCATCCCTATAACTACAGCAACATACAACCATTCCTATAACTACAGCAACATACAACCATTCCTATAACTACAGCAACATACAACCATTCCTATAACTACAGCAACATACAACCATCCCTATAACTACAGCAACATACAACCATTCCTATAACTACAGCAACATACAACCATTCCTATAACTACAGCAACATACAACCATTCCTGTAACTACACCAACATACAACCCTCCCTGTAACTAATCTAAACAGCCTAGGCTGTTATCGATATTAAAATAAAAGTATCCAAGCAAGTGATGAATTTTATCAGAACCTTTTACCATACGTTTCCCTCGACGTGCAGCACACCCTCCCCTCACGAAAAGCTCAGATAAAGATTATCTATGTGACCTACTTAAAGTGGCGAGAAGCGCTCACCAGCGCTACCCCCCCCCTCCCCCCAGTGAACGATTATTCTGGTAACAACAGACGTCACGGAATGTTTTATTCACGTGAAACGGGAATTCCAATCTCAGTCTTAACGGTCATTTTTTTAATCCACGCGCGGGATGACCAGTTCTACACATATGGCGTGTGTAATGACCAGTTCTACACATATGGCGTGTGTGATGACCAGTTCTACACATATGGCGTGTGTGATGACCAGTTCTACACATATGGCGTGTGTGATGACCAGTTCTACACATATGGCGTGTGTGATGACCAGTTCTACACATATGGCGTGTGTGATGACCAGTTCTACACATATGGCGTGTGTGATGACCAGTTCTACACATATGGCGTGTGTGATGACCAGTTCTACACATATGGCGTGTGTGATGACCAGTTCTACACATATGGCGTGTGTGATGACCAGTTCTACACATATGGCGTGTGTGATGAATTCAGCCTTAAAAGTTTTTGATAAGGTCCCTTGATTGATGGCTGACTGAGCTAGTAAAGCAAGCAACCACAGGGGAGTTTATGACACAACAGCAACGGACAACATTTCGATACAAAACTTCCAAGAATTGATTTTAAAACTATCTGAGACTGGCATATTCTTTACTGCAGTGATTAAGTTATTGTTTGAAATAATCAGTTAATTAATTGATGAAAGCATTTTTACGCATTGCAGACCAATCAGAATTTTTAAATTGTTATACCCACTCGCCTCAGACGTCTACATGCCAATACACCCACCCCCCCCCCCCCCCCCCCCCACACACACACCAACCAGTCTGTAACTCACACAACCTTTCACCCACACACAGCCCATGTTGGTACCCCACACACCCAGAACATTTTTTGTTCGTCTAGTGATGGGAGTTAAGTGTTCAACATGAGAGCCAGACGGGCAAGGTTGGTCAAAGTTAGTCATGGTGGGAAAACTTAGTCAAGGTATCCTTAGGTAGGTAAGGCTAGTTACGGTAGACAAGGCTAGTCTAGATATACATAGCTGTACTGTAGCAAGGATTGTATCGGTGTGAGCATGTGATGATTTACATCGTCAAAACGAACTTTTTAAAAATTCCTCTCTAGATCTCAGTTACTGAGTTAAACCGTCAGATGTGGCCTGGTCCAACCTCGCACCTCCCCACCCTGTGAGATCATACCTAGGTAGCCGGCCCAACACCTTCACTCCCCCACCCCCTCTACTCACCATCCCCTGTAGCCACCCGCTGCAAGGATAACATAACCTACCTCTGATGTAAAGCATAGCACAAGGATAACATAACCTACCTCTGATGTAAAGCTTAGCACAAGGATAACATAACCTACCTCTGATGTAAAGCATAGCACGGTATGAATAGGTCGATCCAAACTCGTTCTCTGCTACACATTCAAAGGTGCCTTCATCAGATTCTTGGGCGTGTTCAATGATTAGGGTACCTGAAGGAATCAAACAGGTAAATTAGGTTACCTGTGTGGAGCAGAAACTGATTAGGGTAGTATGGTGGGTTTGTATACACCTGAACTTGAGAGTACCTGGATGGATTAGCTAAGTGGATTAGTGACTGGATTAGGCCAACTGAGGTGGAATAGGGTGAGTGGATTAACTTAGTGGATTAGCTAAGTGTGGATACATGAGTGGATCTGGGAATATAGTGGTGGATTATGTAGTACATTGTTAGATTAGGTAGTAAATGAATGGATAAGGGATTGCCCGATGGCTTGAAGTGTAGATCTACTTTGATGGGCGAGGTTACCTGAGTAGATTAGCCATTAGATTAGAGATTATCGTGATGGATTAAAGCATTACTAGGTTGGATGAGAACCAGCAGTGGCCTAGAATGTCACACCCTAAGTAACACGTGAAATACCATCTCAAGTAAAATATAAAGTACCGCGTCAAGTAACATGAAGTAACACCTCAACTAACAGATGAAGTACCAACTCAACTAACACATGAAGTAACATGAAGTAACATGAAGTAACATATAAAGTACCATATGAAGTAACCCACCTGTTTCCGAGACGGACACCCGGGGGTCAGTTGTGTCCACGGGCAGGTTGTCCTTGAGCCAGAGGACGGTGGGTGTGGGGTCACCACTGACCTCACAGTTTAAACTGATCTGCTTGTCCTTCTCCACCGACTTGAGCTTTGGGTTGACTTCAATCTTTGGGAATCCCGCGGGGAGGTCTGTGAGAGAGATGGAGTGGGTCAAAACTTGGACAGGCAACTTGGATCAAAGACACCACGAATCTTTACACACGTTAGACATGGTAGGTAACAAATCATAATGGTATACTTATTAAGCTAATTATGATTAGGTTTTATTACTGAACTATTTTTATTTAAGAAAACTAGTGACAAATATAACAAACTATAAATAGAAAACACAATAAAAATATTTGTCTAAAATGGGGAAGGGGAGTGGTAAATATGTGGAATAAGTGGTTAAAAAAGGTGGTAAAAGGGTGGTCTACTAGACTAAGCTCAGCTAATGTGATAGGAGGGTATTACAACAAAAATAACATTTACGTGAGTTAAACTTTGTGGAGATTAACTTAATCTAAATACAACATTTTAAGAAGTGTGCGGCTTTCATTTATACATTGATTGGTTTATAAATTTAAATATTTTTGTACGAATTTAATTAGGTAAATGATTGTTTTATTAATTTAAAACCAAAACGGCTTATGTTGTCACTGTGTCCTAGTTTTTAAGCTCAAGCAGGCGTCGAGACTGGTCAAGGTTTTCGTGATCCAGAAAACGGTCAATGACCCCATACAGGGTTTTTTTTTCTTTAAATACCTCACATACGTCGATTAATTACATGGGCGAGTGTGTGTGTGTGTGTGTGTGTGTGTGTGCTACCCTTCTTGTGTGCGCTAAACGTGAGTGTACTACCACACACGTGAGTATGCTACCATGTTTGTATGCTACCATGTTTGTATGCTACCATGTTTGTATGCTACCATGTTTGTATGCTACCATGTTTGTATGCTACCATGTTTGTATGCTACCATGTTTGTATGCTACCATGTTTGTATGCTACCATGTTTGTATGCTACCATGTTTGTATGCTACCATGTGAGTATGCTACCAAGGAAAAGAAAAACCTGTCTATAAAGTTGGCCACGAAGGACCCGATCAATAACGACGTGAAAAAAATGTTTTTGTCCACTTTATCTTCTGACAAGTCTCACACTTTAAAGATAGGCCTACATATTGTCTACATACTGCCTACCTATTGCCTACATACTGCATACCTATTGCCTACATATTGTCTATCTATTGCCTACAGACTGCCTACCTATTGCCTACCTATTGCCTACATACTGCGTACCTATTGCCTATATATTGTCTACCTATTGCCTACATACTGCCTACATGTTGTCTACCTATCACCTGCATTTTGTCTTACCTATTGCCTACATCCTGCGTACCTATTGTCTACCTATTGCCTACATTTTTCCTAACTACTGCCTACGTTTTGTTTACATAGCGGCCTACCTACTGTCTTCATACTGCCTACATAGTGTCTACATGTGACAGAGTCAATATATCAAAATTTAATAGAAAAGAAATTAATGTTAAGACTAGTTTGACTAGTTAGCGAAAAAAATCATGTTTACATATCCGTTTTTTGTCTCTTTTGCCACTTATTTCCGTATCATGGATGAAAAAGGTCAAGAAAATGTGCTTTGAGACATATTTCCGTATCATAGATTAAACTTGTCTACAAATTGTGACAAGATGTATAATCAAGGCCTCCATTACCTAATGATTTAGGCCTCCTCTCTAGGCAGTAATGTTTTGATCTGTGGCATCGGAGTTTCCCCATCCCAGCCCTCATAACGGCGCAGCCATGCAAATATTACTTAAAAAATCAATACTTCAGTGTGCATGATCGGTAACGTTTGTTTTTTATTTTCGTTACTGTGTGGAGAATTTAATTGTACATCACCCTCCCACAATTTCTGCGTAGTTATCTAAATTAGCATTAACAAGAGCCCCTCCTATCCTCAATTTCTGTGTAGTTATCTAAATGATCATCAACATGAAACATACATAATAATTTAGAATCTGTATATGAAAGATTAAAACGCATCTAGTTTTTCTATTCCACAATGTTTTTACGCGACAGTAAAAGAAAATGTGTAGGCTGCACCTTGAGTGTATTCTGGGCTCATGCTAAAGTTCCATCCCCATTACCTGCTAAGTTTATCAATACAGTCTGCTACAATGTACCCGCTAAGTTTATCAATACCCGTCTGCTACAATGTGTAGGCTACGATGGAAACTATTATTATACTTAATTTGTTTCCCTTTTTGTAGCGAGGGAATTAACGCAATTTTGTAACAAAAGAATGTTGAGGTTTGTTGAAAACTAGTAATTTACCGACATTAAAATATCTGACGCAATGTGTTTAAGAACCTGTGGTTGAACCTGTGGATGGTGTGTAATGGTGGTGGTGGTGGAAACGAGATTATTTACAAATTGTTTTTGTATAAACAAACAGCGATGAGTCACACACCCAATGCGTAAAAAATTGCCTCTATGGACCATAGCTGAAACAAATTGCAAGCAACAAAAATCGTTAAAAGATACAATATAAATGGGAAGGGGTGGAATGGGGGAGGAAAATTAACAAATGGCCTAAGGGCGGTAACTACGTTTTTTCTTCTAAATTTTCAAGAGTTTTGTATTGGTTGTTTCCCTTTAATCACACTCTACTGAGTTGGCTAACTAAAATGCTCGTTCGGAAGAAGCCAAACGAAAAATGATAGACAAATTTAACTGTCCCCATTAAACAGAATGCCATGTCCACTGGGTAACTTCAATAAAAGTGTCGTGTTAAACTACAACCTCACAGTGTACACACCTACCCAGTTTACGGCTGCGGATGTTAAAAAAATCAGGTGTAAAACAACACAGAAAGCCACAAGCAAGAGGTGGTATAGGTTGAAGATTTGAAACAAAACACGACCATTTGTTTAGGGGGGGGGGGGGGAGGGGGAGGGAGGGGGGTCACAATTTCCCTCATCTTTTTAAAATATGTGTACTTATCCCGTTATCGGGCAAATTCAAATCCTGGCCAGAAAATTGTGGTCAGGTAAGGACAAATGGCCGTGTGGCTTCAACAGCAGGTAGGTTTACAGGGTTCAGGTAATACAGGTGACATAAGCCAGGTGAACAGACGACACAGAACTGACCACTCAGAGGCGCGACACAGCGCCACCGTGAGAGACGAGACACACTAGGGGACACGACTGTGCTAGTCTAACACTGACCGCCAGTAATGTGGACCACTGACCGTCAGCTAGCCACAACAGAACTAGGTGAAGCACAGACAGTTTGTGGGAGGCTTTCTTTGGTGACACCATATTATAGCAGGTGCTAACACTGTATACATCTGGAGCTTAACACCGTACATCATGTGCTAACAGCATGTACATCATGTGCTAACAGCATGTACATCATGTGCTAACACCGTGTACATGTGCTAACACCATGTACATCATGTGCTAACACCGTGTACATCAGGTGCTAACAGCATGTACATCATGTGCTAACAGCATGTACATCATGTGCTAACACCGTGTACATGTGCTAACACCATGTACATCATGTGCTAACACCGTGTACATCAGGTGCTAACAGCATGTACATCAGGTGCTAACAGCATGTACATCATGTGCTAACACCGTGTACATCAGGTGCTAACAGCATGTACATCAGGTGCTAACACCGTGAACAGGTGCTAACACCATGTACATCAGGTGCTAACACAATGTACATCAGGTGCTAACACCGTGTACAGGTGCTAACACCGTGAACAGGTGTTAACACTGTGAACAGGTGCTAAGACCGTGTACATCAGGTGCTAAGACCGTGTATAGCCAGGTGCTAAGACCGTGTATAGCCAGGTGCTAAGACCGTGTATAGCCAGGTGTACACACAAAGAACTGCTAAGTGTCAGACAAGACAAGAAATGATTACCTTTATACCTAACCACCCATGAGGCAATACCTGAGGATTGACAGAGAGTGAGACTAAAACATTGGACTCACAAGACTCTCTCTGTCCGACAGGACACACAGACAGTAACACAGGACACTCGCAGGACACACAGCAACACAGGACACACAGAAACAGGACACATGACACACACAGCAACACAGGACACACAGGACACACAGACAGTAACATAGGACATACACATCAACACATGACACACACAACAACACAGGACACACACAGCAACACATGACACACAGAAACAGGACACATGACACACACAGCAACACAGGACACACAGGACACACAGACAGTAACATAGGACATACACATCAACACATGACACACACAACAACACAGGACACACGCAGAAACACAGGACTCACACAAACAGGACACATGACACAGGACACACACAGCAACATAGGACACACACAGCAACACAGGACACACAAGGTAACACAGGACACATGACATAGGACACACACATGACACAGGACACACACAGCAACACAGGACACACACAGCAACACAGGACACACACAGCATCACAGGACACACAGCAACACAGGACACACACAGCAACACAGGACACACAGCAACACAGGACACACACAGCAACACAGGACACACACAGCAACACAGGACACACACAGCAACACAGGACACACACAGCAACACAGGACACACAGCAACACAGGACACACACAGCAACACAGGACACACAGCAACACAGGACACACACAGCAACACAGGACACACACAGCAACACAGGACACACACAGCAACACAGGACACACAGCAACACAGGACACACACAGTAACACAGGACACACAGACACGAAGCCACATTAGACACACATCCAGCACTTTACAAGTCCCCTGGTAAAACGGAACATAAAAATGTCCCGTACAAAAACAACTGGACACAGGTCAGTATAACAAGATGGACAAAAGACACAAATAACGTGATCATTGGAATAGTTATGAGACTGGCATGCACGTTACATTCATGAGCACATTTGGATTGACCCAGGGGAAGGGCTGACTGAGACTAGCCAGCCCCACCCTGAAGATTAATATCTTGTGGAGGGGGGGGGTGTAGGGATGAGAACTGTGTGAGGGATGAGAAGATGGTGTATATGTTACGGTCAAAGCCCGAAGTGCGGCCAATGCTAGGATTGGCCGGCCAATCCGCGCATTGGCCGGCTCTCTTGGCCAAAGCCCGAAGAACTTAGCACTAAGATCGTATTTCGTACATTGGCCGGCCAATGCGCGCACTGGCCGGGACGTACTGGCCAAAGTCCGAAGCGCTTAAACTTGACAGCGTATTTTGTACATTGGCCGGATGTCCTGGCCAATGTTCTATCTAGACTAAGTTGTGATTGCATTTTCATTATTCTGGGTGCGTTTTCATTGAGAGTAACGTATTGTTTAGCTCTTGTTTGTATAGCATTCTATATGCAAGGCGACATGGATCAAAAGGGCCGTCAGACCATGAGAAAGACATAGCAGATGGCTGTCAAAAGAAAAAAAATGTAAATCCATGTTAGTTTCCATATATGGGCTCTCGATAAAATAGTTACTGAGGAAGATCTTGAGAACATTGAACAAGAAATGAAGGTTGCCATAAATGCAACGACATCCTCAGATAACACATCTGCTGCCGTGGCGGAACTCCAGACCAGTTACGTGACAATAATGTGGCCAACAGATTCTATGTACTTTGTGAAAAACATTGTAGTGCATCTTGTTCTTTTGGATCCTGTGTCAACGATGTCCATGCTATTTGTGGAATATCCAATGAAGCAGACGAAGGGTACGGAGGGAACATTACCTGCAGATTGTGTCACAATAAACAAGACATCATGGAACACAGGTCAGCAGCTCATACTGGCTTGCAAAATCAAGGTGCTACTGCTAAGATGCTTAAAACATCAAATACAAAATTTAAAGATGCTGAAGTGGGTGACAATGTACGCATCCGTGTTCCAGATGTTGACGGAGGTCACGGTGATCCCCGAAGCGTGAGTGCAGTTGTCATGAGCGCCGAGGGCGGTTTCTACAAATTAGGAACGGAACATGGTGTTCTAAAACAACTGTATGCTAAAAGTGAGTTTTCAATTCTTCACGAAAAACTGCTCTTATTGTCATCAGTTGGCACTGAGGAAAAATCACTACGAACCATCGCATCTTCACAATCATTGACTGGGGGCCAAGGCTACACTCGCTGCAATTGCACAACTAAGTGCACAACAAATCGCTGCAAGTGTAAAAATAACAAGCTGCTATGTAATTCTAAATGCCATAAAAGTTCAACTTGTTTAAACAAATGATGATATTGATAGATTGACACTATAGCACAATAAAAATTTGGAATGTTTCTGTTATTTACTTTAATTAATAATCAATAAAGACTTAATTTCATGATCCTTATGGCATAAAAAAAAAATCTGCTCATGATCTTCTAATTAAGACTTTGGCCGGCCAAAGGCCGAAATCAAGAGCTATTTCAGACTTTGGCCGGTCCACCATGGCCAGTCTGCGGATTGGCTGGCCAAAGGCCGAAATCAAGCAAAGTTTCGGACTTTGACCGATCTATGGGAGGCGATATTGGCCGATGCTAGGATTGGCCGGCCAATCCTAGCATTGGCCGACTTCGGGCTTTGACCGTAACATATACACAAAATGAAAAAAGACGTATAGCGGTGCGCTAAACGTGGCGGGGAGGGAATGCGAATCAATAGTGTTCAGAGCCTGTAAACACACACGTCAACGTGAGTGGTGTGACGACAAAGGTTAGGGTCGTGGTTTAAACCTTAACGCGTGTAAAGCTAGACACACGTTGACCTGCGTGGGTTGGCACGGCGCGAACGTACAAGAAGTCGGCTGTGTTGGTTCCACCTCACCAAAGAAACATGCAATTTTCAGAGTTCATTATACAGCTCCAGTCGATCGATCCGCCGCTTCCTCGCCAGTTACCATGACAACAATTCAATGTTTCCTCTTCACGTTCATTTCTATTCAGTAGAACATAGTGGGGGGGGGGGGGGGGGGGGAGGGAAGATGGAAAGTGGGATGGGGGTCGTGGAAGAAAATAAATTCACTAAAAGACAACCTCATCCCACCCCTCTACTTTTGCTCGATCAGAGCTAGAATTGTCTAAGTGGAGGGGCTCTTAGGTCACGACACTTATCCAGTGGTCATCAGACGGACGGCCACGACACCTACAGTGGTCCTCAGACGGACGGCCACGACACCTACAGTGGTCATCAGATGGACGGCCACGACACACTTTATCCACTGAACGACCTGTATGTGTACCACGTGATACTGACAGCTTTGTTTATGTCATGCCCCCCGCCTGGTGTAATGGCACCAACACTGTATTGTCATGAATTGTCGCTCTGCCCCTAATGGCATGTCCTGTTGTAGCACTGCCCTGCTTCTGGTGTATGTGCCCTCAGCTGTGTTGTTTTGTTAGGAGACCGATCAATACTGCACCCCCCCCCCACCATCGAGCGTGAGTAGGGTCCACACGGGTGTGCTCATTAAACTTGCAAGGGCCGGGTAACGTCGCTCTTTATGGCGTCAGGCCTTCTGACATTTCTCTTCAAGTGCATCTACTCGGCCCGACACGAGTTGTTCAAATCTCGGTCATCAAGGCATGGTCTCAACATCAACTGATATTATCGATGCGCTCACCGTCTACAGCCGTCAGGTGGTCACCGTCTACAGCCGTGAGGTGGTCACTGTTTACAGCCGTGAGGTGGTCACTGTTTACAGCCGTGAGGTGGTCACTGTTTACAGCCGTGAGGTGGTCACTGTTTACAGCCGTTAAAGATGGCGGTCGAGCCAAACATTGATTGGCCAGACTAGGGCCGTGAGAATTGTGCTGAGGAAGGCGTTTGTTGGAGGCCCCTAATGCTGAGGCAACCGCTAGGCGTTAAACAATTGGAAACCCGGCATTTGTTGGTTAATAACCGTACACTGGTTGACACACCAGACGATAGGCTAACCGTACACGGTGTGATAGGCTAACCGTACACGGTGTGATAAGGCTAACCGTACACGGCATTGTTTTGCTGCTGATGCGGGGATAGGCTAACCGTACACAGTTCGATCGAGGCCAGAGCGTGCCGGCATCAGTGGTCGATCAATGCTGGCAGAGATGAGTCATCTTACGGGCTGCGAGAGGCACACACACACACACTCACACTGTCACACGCACGGGCTGCGAGAGGCACACACACACACACACACTCACACTGTCACACACACACACGGGCTGCGAAAGGCACACACACACACACTGTCACACACACACGGGCTGCGAGAGGCACACACTCACGGGCTGCGAGAGTCACACACACACACACTGTCACACACACACACGGGCTGCAAGAGGCACACACTCACGGGCTGCGAGAGTCACACACACACACACACTGTCACACACACACACGGGCTGCGAGAGGCACACACACACATACACACTGTCACACACACACGGGCTGCGAGAGGCACACACACACGGGCTGCGAGAGGCACACACACACACTGTCACACACACACACGGGCTGCGAGAGGCACACACACACACACACTGTCACACACACACGGGCTGGGAGAGGCACACACACACACACACACTGTCACACACACACACAGGCTGCTAGGGACACACACACTCACACACTCTAAGACGTTCACATCTGCTAGCGGTACAGGTCGTGAATAAAGATGATGCGCTAATCTAAATTATTTGAGTTGATACCATCGTTTTTGTTGGTTAAAGAGTAGTTGATGCTACAACATCACAACAACATGAAGCTATCTCTAAAGTATTTTTGTCTTGAAGTTCTGACTTAACTAGCCATATGATATTAACATATGAACAAATGTTTTATAAACAAATGTTATATGAACAAATGTTATATGAACAAATGTTATATGAACAAATGTTATATGAACAAATGTTATATGAACAAATGTTATATGAACACATGTTGAGTCTTGCCATCAATCGATTTTCATCCATATTTTATCAATTTATATCGCACGATTAATAAGGCCAAAATGAACTTTTGTTCCTGTATTTCTTTATCGCTTAACAAAATGAAACGTTTTGTTTATATTTTTTTGTGTTTATTTTTTAAAGTTGAAGATGTAGTTGCCCCAATCTCAGCACCTGAAAATTTTCGCCGTATAAACATGTAGGCCTGGTGAGTATACGTGGAAAAAGAAAATATTAGCTAAGGGAAATAATCACATTTACCCCGCTTTTTTCATTACAATTTTTTTAAGTTCATATTTTCGCCTATTTTTTGAGTTAGCGGAATATGCAGTGGCGGACATAAAATGGCTAAACAAGACATTTTTTATTTTGATTTTGCGGAAAGATTCCGCAAACGGCGGGACGGTAGGCGGATCTGTGGCTGCAGCTATTCCAAGGTGTTCAACGCGTTCACAAGCTTGGGTTTAGTATGGGCTACTGTCCTCTAACTGACCTGAGGTCGACTTTTCTTCTAACTGACCGGAGCACATGCACCTTCTCATGCCCCTGGTGTCACTCAATGACCAGAGGACCAACCCATGGTGTCACACAATGGCCAAATGACCAACCCATGGTGTCACACAATGGCCAAATGACCAACCCATGGTGTCAAACAATGACCAACCCATGGTGTCAAACAATGACCAACCCATGGGGTCACATTATGGCCAGATGACCAACCAATGGTGTCACATTATGGCCAAATGACCAACCAATGGTGTCACATTATGGCCAGATGACCAACCAATGGTGTCACATTATGGCCAGATGACCGTTGTTGATGTCCCTCTAGCGGTGACCGTTGTTGATGTCCCTCTACCGGTGACCGTTGTTAAAGTATGTTAACTATAGCCGTAAAGCGCTGAACACTCATTGATTCGTAACTGGTAGGTTTAATTAACTGGGCAGTGGTAGGTTTAATTAACTGGGCAGTGGTAGGTTCAATTAACTGGGCAGTGGTAGGTTCAATTAACTGGGCAGTGGTAGGTTTAATTAACTGGGCAGTGGTAGGTTCAATTAACTGGGCAGTGGTAGGTTTAATTAACTGGGCAGTGGTAGGTTTAATTAACTGGGCAGTAGTAGGTTTAATTAACTGGGCAGTGGTAGGTTTAATTAACTGGGCAGATGGTAGGTTTAATTAACTCGGCAGATGGTAGGTATAATTAACTGGGCAGTGGTAGGTTTAATTAACTGGGCAGATGGTAGGTTTAATTAACTAGGCAGATGGTAGGTTTAATTAACTAGGCAGATGGTAGGTTTAATAAACTGGGCAGTGGTAGGTTTAATCAACTGGGCAGATGGTAGGTTTAATTAACTGGCAGATGGTAGGTTTAAAAAAATGGGCAGTGGTAGGTTTAATTAACTGGGCAGTGGTAGGTTTAATTAACTGGGCAGTGGTAGGTTTAACTGGGCAGTGGTAGGTTTAATTAACTGGGCAGTGGTAGGTTTTTATTAATTATGACATGAATAAGCAGAATCATGATGGAACGTGAGCAAAAGGTCCGAAAGTCAACTAAAGGTGATTCACTACTAGGTAGAAATGTGAGGCGTGGGTGAGCGCAGAGTGTGAGGTGATGACGTAGGGGATGAACGCTCGCGTGCCTTCCAACCTGTACAAGCGAAATAATTTAATTGACAAATTTTCTGATGGATCAGGTCACTTGACTTGCTCGGCCAGTGACAGCTGGTCAGTGACAGGTCGGCCAGTGACAGCTGGTCGCGAGCAAGTCACGTGACAGACACATGAAGCCATGAAAGCAACGAATGGTGCAGCGTCGTGACAGAGGGTGGGAAGGGTGGGGGTTGCTGATGGTAATGAAAGACCGGCACCGTGAGCAGGTGTAAACGTTTACCTGTGTCCTCCTCCTTGGCGTAGATCTTGAGGGTGGCGTCGGCCCGGGCCTCACCCAGGCCGTTGTTGGCCACACAGGTGTAGGTGGCGTTGTCCTTCCCGGCCTTGACCGGCTTGATCCGGAGGGCGGAGACATGTGGGGCGTCGTTCAGCTCGTACCTGTTCCTGCTGGGGTTGATCCGCTTGCCCCCCTTCTCCCAGTGGAAGGTGGGGGCGGGGTTACCTGACGCTCGACAGAAAAAACTGACCGTTCCTTCCTCAGCGACCTTGGTACTCTTAGGGGCCATCGTGATCTTGGGTGGACCTGGAATGGACAGAGACGGGAGTTAGACGTGAACTGGGACGGTCTGCACCGCCTGAACCTCCCGGGGACGAGCTGTACCCCCGGGCCTTTACACGCTAAGTCAGATGTGTTTGTTATCCTGAGTAGCGTACAATAGGTCGACTGAAATTCTTGTGTGAATATTCGATGTCTTGTGAGAATGTGACGTGTGAATGTGGTATGTGGATGTCTTGTGTCACAATTTTGCATGTGAATCTTGTATGAATGGTGTGTGTTAATGACTTAAGTGAATGTCTTGTGTGAATGTGGTTTGTGTATTCTTGAGTAAATATCTTGTGTGAATGAGTGTATGTGAGTATGGTATGTGAATATCTTGTGTGAATGCGGTATGTGAATGTCTTGTGTGAATGTGGTATGTGAATGTCTTGAGTGAATGTGGTATGTGAATGTATTGTGTGAATGTGGTTTTCCGACATGAATACAGCCCCGGAAACCTCCCAGCAGTCTATGCCAGGATTACTTACTCTGTACAACCGGCAACCGGAAGTCGTAGGTAAAGTTAGTAGCTGGGTACGGCTCTTGAGGGCCTGCTGAAGATTGGTGGTATGTAGGCATGTCACGATCATTGGCTAGAGCCAGGCTTGCTGTCTAGCTGCAGCCAGCCGTATTGTTATGTCCAGCCATGCCACTTAGCTGCAGCCAGCCATATTGCTAGGTCCGGCCATGCCACTTAGCTACAGCCGACCGTCTTGCTAGGGCCAGCCATGCTGTCTAGCTGCAGCCAGTCGTATTGCGTGGACCAGCATCGCTTACTAAAGTAGAACAAGCACAACTGCAGGGCCATTACAATGTAGAATGGGTTTGTTGACCGGACGATAGCACCGTTAATCACTTCACGTTTTTAAAGTGTAACCCAACATGGGCAATTAACAAGACCGGCTAAAGCTACAACAATTAATTAACAAGACCGGCTACAGCTACAACAATCAAGCCTGCTTCAGTTTGCCAGATCAATATACACAAGAAAAAATCCTAGAGCTAGCTGCACCATGTGGCTCCAGATTTAGAAAGTCAGTTGTGTGGTGCTGACTGCTAACATTAGGTTTAAAACAACTAGCCAGATTTAGAAAGTCAGTTGTGTGGTGCTGACCGCTAACATTAGGTTTAAAACAATTAGCCAGATTTAGAAAGTCAGTTGTGTGGTGATGGCCGCTAACATTAGGTTTAAAACAACTGGGGAGGCACGACTGTTTAAACTGACTATAGGCTGGTCATGGCGTATACACAAAATTAACATTGACATTTGCATCTATTTTGTGTTAGTAAAGGATAAAAATAATAGGGAACTATTTTAGGCGATGTTTGGTCATTTTAGGTGGGTGGTCAGGCGGGTATTAGGTAAATGAATATGGTGACAGGTCGGGAGGTTGACCCCTATATGTGCGGCCTAATTTTTTCTGTTGTATTAATATCTACCAGACGAGTGTTTAGGAATGGTATGTGGGGAAGGGGGGGGGGACAAGAATAGCATCGCAGCAACCCAATTCACCAACACCGAAACGTTAGTTAGAAGCTTTTATTTTGTTTCGATTTGCTAGTAAAATTTATCACTGAAGTCGTAAAAAAAAAGGCCCCCGAATATTTATCCTAACTCCTTGTTTGGCGCCCTAAGCAGACGACAGTGATATTGATCTATATCTAGAATATTAGGCTATGCATTATTAAACCCGTATATAATGACAGGCTTTTAGTAATGTATTAAAATGGAAAAAAAAAGTTTTTAAAAAAAATTATAAAGACAATATTGCAAATTTCCAATTTTCTTAAATACTAACCCTATTTAATTTTTAGATAATGAGTAAAATGCATTTTTATATTTAGTTAAAAATATTTAAAAAAAATTATTTCTGAAAGACTAACTGTTTAATTTATAGATCTAGTTAAATAGAATTGCATTTAAAAGAAAATCGTTTTTACAGGCTTTTATTTAACGTGCTTCCTTTAAGTCGTCATAGATCGAAACGGGCAAGCGAAATTTCGGGCACATCTGACAGATTGGTTTCAAAGTTGGCACGAGGGTCAAGACCTGAAGATGATGCATTCTGACATCAGATTTGACTTAATTAGATGTCTAATTAAATTTTTATGAATTAATTAAAATTTTCTGAAATTAGCTGGGTGTCCTACTACTATTGCGTGATTATACGCGCATGTTCATTTGGTGCGCAATAGTTTTTAGTCATGCAACTCAATAAAGCATGAAAAGTCTATGTAATCAAACTAAACTTTTGAAAAAATCTTTTTTTAAAATATGGCAAGCGATAAAATTATAATTTGTAAAAATTAAAGCCGTTTGGAAACTATCGATTACACTCATTTTATACTTTTGAATCAAATAAAAGCCATTTAGAATTATTTAAGAATTTCAAATATTTTCAAAAACTCCCCTCAACCTCTCTTTGAAGTCAACGAGAATGCCAGGGAGAGTAAAACAATAAAAGTTAAAACAATTGTTTTCCCATGATAAAAAATACACAATAGTGATCTATGGTGTATAGCTAGTATTGTATTTATATTAAAAACTATAACAACCCCAACCACTACGACACACCCACTCTACTAATCCAAATAAAAAATAAAAGTGTTAGCTAAATTACTACTATATTATTAGTAATTATTTCTTTGACTATTTCTAGCCTTAAAAAACTGGAAGTAATTTTGTACTTGTTACATAGATGTTTTAAAATATTCAATTTTGGTTGAAAAATAGGCTTTTTGGCAACAAAAATTTGGAACCATTTGGAACCAGCAAAAAATGCATAAAAATGTTTTAATAATAAGCATTAAAATAGTTTCGCTGTCTGTCTGACAAGAACGCTCTGTCTGACAAGAACGCTCTAGAGAAAACACAAGGAAATTAAAAACATGCAGAAAGTGCACACAGTAATATAATGACGTCATTGATTATCGCGTAAACATTGAATAAAAAGGAAATTTTGTCTAATCTAAATGGTTTGCGTGAAGAGTTTCTTGCATACAATTCTTCGGGTAGGGGCGAAGCCCCACCCCCCGCGTAAGAACGTCTGAGCCCCCCCCCCCCTCCCCAACTCAAAAGAAATTTCCTCATCGATACTCTATAATAAAATTACCGCCTAATTAATGTGTCTAATCTAAAAAGTGGTTTTCTTGCAATGGGACGGTAGACATGTTTTGGGGGGGGGGGGGGTGGAGGGGTGGGGGTGTGTGTGTGGGGGTGGGTGGGGTGGGGGGGTGGGTGGGGGGTGGTGTGTGGGGGGTGGGTTGGTTTCAGTGTTTCTTTCAGACTTTTTCCTCCCCGGAGAGGGGTGGGGGGTACTTGAAATTTTCGGGGGCGGGGGTAGAGTTTTCTGGGAGGGGGCGGACACTGGAAAAAGTATATAATTATATTTCGTTGAATGGGACGGTAGACATGTTTTTTTTGGGGGGGTGGGGGGTGGGGGGGCGGTGTGTGGAGGGGGTGGTGTGTGGGGGTGAGGGGTGGGGGTGGGGGTGGTGTGTGGTGGGGGGTGGGGGTGGTGTGTGGGGGTGGGGGGGTGGGGTGGGGGTGGTGTGTGGGGGGGTGGGTTGGTTTTAGTTTAGAGAAAAGAGACAGCACTATCAGCCTAGCGCCCGTTGTACCCTTCCTCAACGGGCCATTTTTCTCGTAAGCATTAATGATATAATGCACTAAAAAGGAGAAAATAAATGAGAAGTACTTTTTCAAAACTTATGATTTTCTTTATATAGTAACACTACTATTTAAATAACTGTATAGAAAAGCGTGGGTCTCTTCCTAAATATTATTAAAAGTATCCAATTGATAGCGACCCACGCTTTTCTTTATAGTTATTTAAATAGTGGTGTATTTTTGTACATTTAAAGAAAATCTTTTATTTGCTTCTTTTTAGTGAATTACTGCTAAAAAAGCTTGTTAGTAAAACGTTTTTATGCATTTTTAATGCATAGATTTAAAAAAAAAAGCGAGGCATAAACATTTTATATTTTTGATTACAATCATTACCCTTTAGTGTTAAGTCTAAAAATGCGTGTTAATGAATGCACCCAAAAATGACTAAAATACTGACAATTATTGTTTGTCTTTTAGGCTTGACGAAAATAAATAGAAATGTAGCCTTTAACTCAAAAACATTATTTTCAAATTGTCTACATTTGTAGCTTTAATATAGGCCCTAGATGCTTAAAATATTAAAGTTTTAAAAATACTTCAAGCATAATTTTTACTTTCTCGTATACGAAGTAAAGAGGAAATATTGTAATCGTGCAAAAAATCAAAAATCAAAATCGAGATTTTCACACATATCTCGACGTTTTACACTTCCCTTGAGTCGGAAAAACATAGTTACGAATTTTGTTCGTAGTTTGATCTACCCCCCCCCCCCCCCATCTAGTTTGACTAACAAGAAAATAGATCAATCCCGCCAAAAAAATTTGGTTGGACCAAACTAGATCGCCCCCTACCCACCCACCGTACCTAGTTCGACCCAAAACAGATCATCCCCCCCCCCCACCATGCCTAGTTCGACTAAAATAGATCTACCCCACCCACAAACCTAGTGCGACAAAAAAAGCCTTTACTTTAATCTGATCCAAGAGCCAGTTAGACGATGATCAGAGTCTCAGAGAAAGTCCCATTAATCTCGCCACTAAATCGCTTCAGCGGAAAGTCAATTTGGTTCTGACAGATCGACCGTTATTTGGTTCCAACAGATCGACCGTTTTCACCTTAAACCGGAACCTGTATTTAGTTAAGAACGTTGAGCCCTGTATGATCCGAACACAGTGTTCAAACTTGTATCATACAGACTGTACACAAAGTTCAAACTTGTATCATACAGACTGTACACAAAGTTCAAACTTGTATCATACAGACTGTACACAAAGTTCAAACTTGTATCATACAGACTGTACACAAAGTTCAAACGTGTATCATCCAGACTGGACACTTTAAAATGTGTTAAAACTTTTGATGGATCAAACATGGCTACCCAATGTCGCCCCCCCCCCCCCCCACACTCCCCACAAACAAAAAACTGTGTATGATCACAGTAAAAATATTACTTTAAAAAAAAATACCCACATGAGTAAGTTCAACAATCTCATGAAATTTGTCACAGTCGCTCAATAGCAATACAGTCTAGATAGATCTAATTCACATTTTTAAAAAAGACGGGTTGGATAAAAATATGAAGAAGAAATAAATCTTCGTAAATCTTTCGTGGTCAACCCGTTATCCCCCACCCCCCACCAACGTGATCTGGGAATGAGGTTAGACCGTGAATCATGATGACTCATGCAACAGTCCGGGTCGGCTGGACCGTCCATTACCCTGATCACCATTACTGTAGACACGTGTAAATGGTGCGTGCCAACTTGGACAATTCAATGCATATTTATACAGGCGGGTGTTTACATCAAGCTCCCGCCATAACTGTGTGGGGCAGTTTTAACGTCTGCACACCCATGTCCAGGTGACATATTTTAATGTGCGCCCCCACTCCCACCCCAGATAAACTGACAAATTTTAATGTGAGTTGACATCTTTTAACATCAGCTTTCCCATGTTCTGCTGATATCTTTAAATGTCACCCCCTACCCCAATGCCTAGATGCACATTAGCATTTAGCGTGAGCATGCCCATGCCCAGATAAACTGACATCTTTTTATCTGAGCCCCCCCCCCAACCCCCACCATGCCCAGATAAACTGACATCTTTTTATCTGAGCCCCCCCCCCCCCCAACCCCCACCATGCCCAGATAAACTGACATCTTTTAATTTGAGCCCCCACCCCCACCATGCCCAGATAAACTGACATCTTTTAATTTGAGCCCCCCTCCCCCCATCCCCCCCCCCCCCCCCCCCCCAGATAAACTGACATCTTGGATTTCAACCGACATCTTCAATGAGGCCGGAGTAGGCGACAGGGGGAATAATTTGAGGGATTTATTAATAAAAAAAATACTTCAATCTGTATAAAAGCAAGGCCCACAACCCTGGAACAGAGCTACTGCCACGGGACTCCGCTATTTGCGACTTTTGGCCTCTTGTTATTTATGCAAATGACGAGGTCAACCGGAGGATTGCAAATGACCAGGTCGCCCAAGGGACCCGGATGGAAAAAAAAACATCGGTCACTAACAGGAACCAGATAGGATCTCCCCTGATAGCTTAATCCACCCCTAAACTATAATCCCCCCTTCTCGTATAGCTTTCTTTACCTCAGTACCCCAACTCTACTTCAATCTCACACACACCTGATGCCCAACCCAGCCTTACCCGACCCTCATCCCATGTAACCACCTACCCCATCCTAAATTACCCGCATATCAACTATATACCGACTCCCCCATACCGACCTCCTATATCAACTATATAATGACCCCCCATATCATTTATATACCGCCCCCCCCATGCCAGCTATATACCGCCCCCCATACCAGCTATATACCGACCCCCCCCCATATCAACTATATACCGACTCCACCCATATAAACTATATACCGACCCCTTATATCAAATATATACCGACCCCTTATATCAACTATATATACCGACCCCCCATTTCGACTATATACCGACTCCCCCCCCCCCCATCATGACTTACCCCCATATCAACTATAGACTTCACACCGACCACCCCCCCCCCCCTATCAACTATATACCGACCCCGCCCCCTCCTCCTATCTACTACCTGTGTGGTAGATTTAAAAATTTCCCGTTTCTTGTCGTCCCTTCTATGTGTACATCTCCCCCCCACTTAAATAGGTAATCAAAGCCTTGTCTGAGAAATCCCTTCAAATCTTCCCTGTGGTCTCCTATAGGAGCCGGCTCTTATTGATTTCTCTATTGACGAAATTGGAGTTGAGTTGATGCGATGCTTAAAACGGTAACATACAAGAGGGGTTCCAACTTTGGGTTTTAACGACCCCGGCCTCAGGGAGCTAATGTGTCGAAGGTACACGGGGTTCTCAAATTGGCGTCTCATGACGCACGGGGTTTACTGTTGGGTGACGCGGAGGTATACTAATAGGTAATAATGGGAATCGCAGGTTCTCAAAAAAATAAAATGTGTAAACCTTCGCCATCAGTGAGAGTTTACCCAAAGGGAATAGTGAAAATTGAAGGTTCTAAAATTGTCAATTACAAACCCCGGAGTAAATTCAATCAAGTATATGAATGACAACAAGGATTTCTACAGAGGACTAAATTTTATGAAACGAATTACTTTAAAAAGGGGTTCAACGTGAGATGGTAGTTGGAGGACCGTTATTGGCTCACGTGAGCATTTATTCCGTGGGCGTGTCCATCTAGTGGAACCATCTAGTTTTAGTCAGATGTGAAATTGGTGGGATCATTAAAATTTGAGTCAAATCTCTTCTAGAGTTGTATAAAACTTTTGCCTTACACAGCTGTAGTTTTGTGAGCAACGTGTACGGGGTTGACTGTTTCTTTATTCCTTCGTGTATAGTGTATTTTCTATATTTAAAAAAATCGGGTGCGGGTGGCTGGGGGGCGTGGATTTGCTTGCGCCCCCCCCCCCCTCCCCGAAAGAGAGGTCTTAAAGAAAATGTTTTGTAGGCATTTTTAGCTCATCTTCAGAGCGGCCAGTGGTTCTCAATAGTATTGGGACAGTGGGGTAGCTATATTTCTCTTCGTTTGATAAAAAAATATATAAAAATGTGTACTCACTTCCGACAGCCTGGGTAGTTCCGATGTTTGCCAGACAGGACAGGGCGACTAGCAAGGCAAGGCCCCCCATCTTCACCTGGTCCGGCGGAGGTCAAACTAGAGAATTGCTTACCTGGAGAGAGCACACAAACAACATCTTTACAGATACCTGTACATCAACGCAGTAACAATAACAAATCCTACACAGTGCAGGTGAGGCAGAGTTTATCCAAAATCCAGAAGTATGTTTTAAAAAGTAAAGAGTGTACCGATAGCTCCTAAATGCCAGCTCTAGAATTCCTATCACGATTCCTTCGGGTCAAGCAAAAGGTAGTAACACGAAATAAAGCCTGCGCTTATAACGCATTAACGAAAAATAAACGCACTTATAAGTAACGCAACTAAATACGGAAAAAAAATCTCGCACATAAAAATTGACCGATTTTAATCCAGTTATCACACTTAAAGAATTATCCACTTGACCAGGGGCGAGACAGACAATTAGTACATCCACTTTGTAGGCTGGACAATAGTTTAACATCCCATCCGGCTGGACAAGAGTTTAACATCCCATCCTGAACACTCACAGAACTAGCACTTTTTGTCACACGAAGCTCACACAAATAGAAGACAAAAACTTGCAAACAACTCGAGAAGAGTTAAAACAAAATGCCGCACAACACGAACTCGACTTGTCCGCACGTCAGAACGGCCGAGATAAAAAACGTGATCAGAACTCGTGATAAACAACCAATGAATAACCAATCACTAACTAGCTCCACAACTTTAAACCTAACACTGTGCGTGGTAGTTTAACATGTGAAAAATCTAAAGTCCAAAACACCGCAGCCGCCTCTCACAGAAGATGCTGAAAGAATCAAGATTAGTTATTCCCCTTTGATTTAAGGTGAACGGAACAATGGCCGGGTCACGGGTTATTCCTGTCGCAGCGGCCACACTACCCACGCTGCCATCCGGCCTGACTCATTAGGGGAATCATGGGTCCAGTTGGTCACTCGTCTCGTGGGTCCAGTTGCTACTGATCTCGTGGCCGGGCTAGTCTCACCAAGGGTGGAAGGCCGTGTCCACTCACAAAAAGGCTCCTCAGATGTATCGGCTCTCGCAAAAACAAACGGGAAATTATGCTCGGGGCTGCTCGCGGCTTGACACGTCCCTGGTAGACATTGATCCCTGGGGGTGGGGGTGACGGGTGGGGAGGTGACAACATTTTGTTAGATGGTGCTAACAAGGCTACAGATGAAGAAAAAATCTGATTTAAGGATCTAACATTTGAAGAGGAAACTAAATAAGGCGAAGGAAGACGTCTGGTTTAAAGGTCTAACATTCGAAGAGGAAACTAGAGTGTTCGGATATAGATTTGAGCATTTTTCTATTTATAAAAAAGTTTAATATTTTTAAAAGGTTGGAGATTTCAAATATTAATCGCTTAGAGAGTATAATGATAGTAGTCCAGTATTTAGGGTTTTAAAGGGACAATGCTGAAAAGATGTATACATTGTTCTTAAGGCAATTCTTAGACTGACCACTACTTATTATATGTCCAGTTGTTTTTGGAATGATCATTGCCTTCATTGGATAACCTGAGGATTTTGGAATGTCCCCAAGGTTTTGAAAAGATCACAGCTTTTCAAAAAGATCAAAGATCACAGCTTTTCAAAAAGATCATTAGTTTTGGAATAGTCCCAAGGACTTAAAAAGATCATTAACTTTTCGAGTAAGTTTTGTAAAAGATCATTAGCTCGGAATAACCCATTGGTTTTAAAATGATCGTTAGCTTTTGGAATGGTCATTACTGCTTTTAATTGTGTGGACACATGGCAAGTCTTTGGTGCGACCACTCTTTAGCGCGACCACCGGCATTATACCACTGGACCACCGGCATTATACCACTGACCTAAATATGGACAGAGGAGTATGAGTGGACAAGGACAAACAGAACGAGAGGATGTAATCGTGCTGGAGCTTAATGGCGAGGGCTGGGACACCAACATTCACAATCAAAGGTCAAAGGTTGATGTGCTTAATAATAAATAACCAATGTGGCAAATCAATGGAGAGCATGCCCCTTAACTCTTACAGAATGAGTGTTGTGATGATGGGGAGGGGAGGGGGGGTGTAAACTCTAGCTGTATGGTGGAGGGGGGGGGGGGGGGAGAAGGGAGGGGGCGGGGTATTTTATTTCATGTTTGGGACTGTTGGGTACATGTCGGAAAACTTGGATTAAACAAAATATAACATACAGATAATCCAAACCTACTGGTCAGGGGAAAGTTAGGGACTCAACGGAAGGTTTAGGATGAGGGAAGAATAGGGACTGAAGGGTAGGACAAATCTTCTCACTTGCCGGAGGGTCCAAAGTCCCCCCCCCCCCCCTTTTTTCCCCTATCATAAATTTAACTGCTATAATAGATCCCGGTTTAACATTAGAAATGTAAACGACAACGTGTATCTATAAGTGTAGGTTTTTCCAATGGACATGGCCCAGTAAAGTAATCCAAAAATAAAAAAATTAAGTGGAAAACTATGAGCATTATCACCGGATGTAAACATGCGTCTAAAGTAGACACTTGTCTAAAGTAGACACTTGTCTAAAGTAGACACTTGTCTATGCAGACAATCATAAACAAAGGACTTAAAAACCTAGCCTTCAATAAAGCACACAAAAACTGCTCAGACGGATATCACGTGATGCCAAAACTTGTATGTCATCCGCTTATAGCCAGGCGTCATGAATCATACGTCCACACAGATATCTTAGACATTAAATTACCATCACAATTGCCGGACACGTCACAATATCACAGTCACTAATACCAGACAGTCACAAGTACCAGAAAGTCACAAGTACCAGAAAGTGACCAGTACCCGACACGCCACTAGCACCAGAAAGTCACCACTACCCGACACGCCACTAGCACCAGAAAGTCACCACTACCCGACACGCCACTAGCACCAGAAAGTCACCAGTACCCGACACGCCACCAGCACCAGCTACCGACAACATCAGCGCTAGTGACCAGATTACCAAAGGTCGAAGGTCGACCAATAGGCGAAGTGCACGTATCAAAACGTCCTTATCAACAGCAGATGGCAGAGTGCGCTTCTATTTTGATCAATGGACATTACTTGACCAATTGATTTCTCAGCTCTAACGACAGGCCACCATTGCTGTAGGACACAACACCGGGAGGCGGACGGGCATCACGTGGGTTCCGGCAAGACTAGAGTCTGGGAGCCTCCCGACTATGGAGGTCCAAACATGCGGTTGTCATGCCAACGGTCGTAAACAACCGTGTCATGCTGGGGCCCAAATGGGGCGGCATCTGAAGAAAACAGCTAAATGTCAATATGACATTAGAGAAAACGGAACTGAATGTCAGCATGACATCAGAGGAAACAACTAAATGTCAGCATGACTGAAAGTCGAGATGTCATCATAAAAAACATCTAAATGTCAATATAACAACACAGGGCAGGTTGAATCAAACACGCTTTTATACGATTGGCTAGGTCAGATGTTTAAATAATATTATTGTTTGGTAAAACATCTAACGTTGTTTTTACATTTCTGGACAAGTTTTTCATCTGCATAATGAGACAGTAGGTCTTGTGAGACATTGTGAGACAGTAGGTCTTGAGAGACAACGGGCAGCGTGCAGTTAGCTACACGACCGTGACGTGTTGTCCCTACACGACCGTCCCTACACGACCTACACGTGTTGTCCCTACACGACCGTCCCTACACGACCTACACGTGTTGTCCCTACACGACCGTCCCTACACGACCTACACGTGTTGTCCCTACACGACCGTCACGTGTTGTCCCTACACGACCGACACATGTTGTCCCTACACGCCAATGTTTACCAAAGCTGACCTCATGAGAATGTGTAGTTTGTCCAAACTTGACAAATTGTCGATCTGTGTGGTTTGATCAAGATAAGGGCTAAACATTACATGTTATCAAGCCCCCCCCCCCCCACTCGGCGATACAGCTCTAGGGTGACGTCATAAGGCAATTTAAAAAAAACTACACTAATTTGCAACTGTTTAAATTTGGCGACACATTTCAGCTAGATGTTGGACACAGAAGGACTTGACCTATTGTAAAAATATTTGTCAATTTAAAAAAAAAAAACGCGTGAAAGAAATATTTTAAAGAAATGAAGGAGGACGTGTGATATGACAGTCTGAAGGAAGGCGGCGATGTTTGATCCCTTCAGTCTGGGACACTGTGTCCAGTCAGGTTACTGACCACCATATACTGCTTCTGTCTCGTCTGCACTGACTCTAGGCTGACATATTCCCAGCAACAGTCACGGTCTGGTGACCATGACAACGGCTGTCATATCCTCGACTAATATCACGTATACAGGGAGTAAGACAGATTGTTTTAACCTTCGCTAACCCCCCCCCCCCCAGGTGTACAGTGATTCTGTGTGATTAATACCTGTCTGTAAGATTATACCGGCGTATTAGCATAAACTAGGTCATTCTACGGGGCACAGGTAACACAATCCTCGACATACCTGAGCGGTGAGACACCTGTCAACACTCAAACCCTATCCGACAACTGGGTCTGATGATAACGGTTGGTTTAACAGTTTACCCAGAAACGGTTGGTTTAACAGTTTACCCAGACATAGATTAGCTTTGGTTTAAATGTGGCGCGTCTTGAAATCGGATATTCAAAGAGAGATCATATTCTTAATCAGGTTTCTTTAAAACGAGATATTTAATGTCAAATTATCTCGACTAATTTGATTTAAGACAAAAATTTAATTGTAGATGCAAGTTATTTTATTGGGCAGAGTCGAAAGTTTGGGCAGGGTCGAGGGTTTGGGCAGAGTTTATGCTATGGATGTGTGGTAACTCAGACAGAGACTAAATATCCAACAACAACAAATGAGAACACAAGGCAGACAACTCACCACCCAACAACAAATGCAACTTCAACGATCCTGATATGTTGTTCCTCTTCCAAACAAGACGGTCTATGGGGCAAGTGAAGGGATAATGTGGTCAGCACTATGCCCAGCAGCCTTTACTTTCTTTTCTCAGGGACGGTTTACTGACATGAACCCGGATTCGAACTCGGGACTTACGGGTTAGCAGTTTAGCTCTCTGGAGCTAGGCCACTCCGTCCCTACCATATGCTGAACACAATAAAAAAAAAAACAGGCTCATACTCAACGTTAAATGTCACGTGCAGGTTAAAGCTTCATTATCGCAAAAAATATTTAAAGTATTATCTTTGAAGTGATAACACATCTTTGTAAATTAATCGAAAACGAGGCTTAGTCTTTATCGGTGGACAAAGTTACCTTTTTTCCCCTCCAACACAAGAATTACGCGTCAACATGTTAGACGCCAGATATTTAGGCCGTTGACTCAAGATTTCAGCCTGCTTTTCTTTCTGGATTTGCTTCCTTTGTCCAAACAAGAACAAACTACAAGACAGCAATTGCTTAATTTTGGAGCTGTCTCTCCTAGATGGGTTGTTGTCCCCAGGTATCAAGCCTCATTTGACGGGATACGAACTTTCCGGTTTAGCAACCACGAGCTTTACCGACCCGAACACATCATTACAAACAGTAAAGAGAGCAAGACCTCATCAAATGTTTGCAACAAAAACAACAACAGTAGAGTAACGGACAAACCCCTAATGTCTAAAGAAATCATATAATACATTTGGTACCCATAGAATCCTTTATTTGTTTCTTACACCATTCCTAAACCAGTAGGCCTACCCGTATATAACACCTTTGGCTAACACCATAGACCTGATCCCATATGACACCTTTAGCTGCTATCACCATAGACCAGATCCCACATATGACACCTTTAGCTAACACCATAGACCAGATCCCATATATGACACCTTTAGCTAACACCATAGACCAGATCCCATATATGACACCTTTAGCTAACACCATAGACCAGATCCCATATATGACACCTTTAGCTAACACCATAGACCAGATCCCATATATGACACCTTT